GTAGAACTAATGTAGAACTTCAGCAGTTTTTGTTGTTTTCATAGAGTTCATTGGAAACACTTCCATCCATTTAGAAAAACTATCAACTACAAGCAAATAATATTGACCCTTCTTTTCTGCATAGTCAATATGTATACGTTGCCAAGGTCTACTAGAATAAGCCCAGGGATCTAATCGTACTTTTGCTGGTTCTGGTAGAACAGCCTTACACACTTCACAACTAGATATCATATTTTGGATATCACTATCTAGTTTTGGCCACCAAAGATAACTAATTGCCCATGATATTGTACGGGTTATACCTTGGTGCTCGTCATGCAATTCATTTAAATGTTGTTCTCTATATATTTGTGTGGAATAATAACTCCATAAAATTCAACCATTCTCAGCAGAAAGCTCAAATCTCCTGAGAAAATATGGTTTAAATTGTTCATCACTGTAATTCTGTGGCCATCCATTTAGACTATATTCTAAAACTCTTACCAATACTAGATCCTTTCGAGTAGCTTTTCGAATTTCATTACTGGAAACTGTTATCTATAAATGCAACATGAAAAATATCTTGTTCACTAAACGCACAATTATCATTACAAGGTAAACAAGACATAGCATCAGCATTACCATGATCATTGCCTTTACAGTAAGTAATTTGATATCGATAAGCAGACAGGATTAAAGCCCATCGCTGTAAACGAGCAGCAGCTAAAGGTAGGCACTCCAGTTTTCTGACCTAATATTTACTGTAAGAGACAATGATGAGTTAACAACAAAAATTCCCTTCCATACAAATACTTCATACATTTTTTAACTCTAAAAATAAGACTAAGTGCTTCCTTTTTATTTGTGCATAACCCTTTTCAGCCTTAGTTAAGATGTGGGATGCAAAAGCCTTTCTGAACCATCAGGCATTATATGAGAGATAAACGCTCCAACTCCATAAGCAGAGGCATCACATGCCAGCTGAATTGGTTTCTTAACATCATAGTGAACCAAAAGCTGATCCCCACTAATTTCCTGTTTACATTTCTGAAAAACTAAATCACATTCTTTTGACGAAATAAAAGGTACATCATTATACAATAAACTATTCAAAGGATACAACACTGATGAAAGGTCTTTCAGAAAACGACCATAATAATTTACTAACCCTAACCACGATCTCAACTCAGTTGTATTTTGTGGACGTGGTGCATTATTTATAGCTTTAACCTTATCTTGGATCGGATGTAACTCATCTTTATCTATAACATAACCCAGATATGTAATAGAAGGCTTCATAAATTCACATTTTGATTTCTTCGCCTTAATACCATCGTTTTCTAATCTCTGTAATACCTCATCAAACATTAATAAGTGTTGTTCTTTCGAACTACTACTAATAAGAATATCATCTATATAACAACACACCCCATCTAGACCATTCATTAACTTTTCCATGGTTTCTTGAAATATAGCAGGAGCTGAGGCCACTCCATAATTTAGACGTTGATATTGAAACAAACCCCTATGAGTATTTAAAGTAAGTATTTGTTTAGAATCTGAAGAGACTTCTAGTTGCAGATATGCAGTAGATAAATCTATCTCAGTAAATACTTTTCCCCCTACAAGAGATGCAAATAAGTCTTCAGTATTAGGAAGTGGGTGTTGGTCTACCTCCAGTGCAGGATTAAGAGATACTTTGTAATCTCCACACAATCCTTTAGAATTATCTGATTTTAAGAATGGTACCGTTTTAAAAATACCTGCATTAACTAGTCGATCCAATTCCTAATCAACCATTGGTTTCACAGCATATGGTACAGAATGTGCCTTAACAAACACAGGTTTGGCTTCCTCATTCAATTTAAGATCAGCCTTAAAACCCTCAATGCAACCTGTTTCACCATTAAAATCTACAGAGTGACATTTTAGTACATCATCTAAGGCAGCTACTTTCTCAATTTGTACCCTTTTCAAATATGTAGTGGCTATAAACAAGTTTCTCAAAATCTATGTTGAGTCCTGTATTATCAATGACTCATAGAAATGTTTATAAACACTGCTGACAGCTGGATTTCATCTTCGCCAATGCGTTTTTCATAAAACTTGGGAGACATATATTTCAGTATATAAATGCCTTGATCTTTATTTATCGTATTACAACTAAGTAGTATATGTTGTACCATAACATCTCACTCGAGCCACAGTAAAACACATCAATCACAAGGTGATGAATTCAGATAGAATGATTGACGAAATTTATAGATCAACCCAACGCACTGACCACTACGATGAAGTAAATAACGGTGATATATCTAAGTTTCTGGCTTCAAAACACTGGCATGTCACGGCAACCATGCCGACTCCAGAACTTTCCGTCTGTTTGTTATTTCCGGTTTCTCAACTCCAATAATGACAGTCAGAACTCGTCAATAGATGGCGCTAGATTGTCAAATGCCCAACTAAATCAGATATCATGCTTTTACAATATAAGTGAAAGTTGTCTTAAATGAAGTGACAATAAAGGTATACAGAAAACATTAATAATAAAATACAAAAGGTAATGACTCTGGATTTAGGCCGCTACATACCA